TGACCAGTTTCTTACCTGAGTGGCTCGCGTTGGGCCTGGAGAGGTGGGAGGTGAGTTGAAGGAGGTGGTGCTGGGCAGACATGAGGCTGTTCCTTGGCTGCTCTGGGGGTCCCACGGGAGCATCCGTTGTTGCCGTCTGGGGACTTCTGGCTGCTGTTCTCTAAGCAACATCTGCACCTGAGGCGGAGTTCACCCAACCAAGGTCATGTGACTTGTAAGTGGAGCTCGGATTTGAGCCCAGGAGAGACTAACCAAAGTCATCCTGTGGGTCAGGTGCCCTGGGCACCCAGGTAAAGCACTGCTAACCTGGGCACTGTGAGGGCCGCCCAGAGGTGTCGGGTCAGGACATTGAAGACTGACCACAGACTTGATGGAGGGGACTCACTGGCTCCCAGGCAGGGCAGTGGGAGCCCAGGTTTCCTCTTCCTGTTGTGCTGGCTCTGGAGGGGTGCAGGCCCTCCTGGTGCTGGCTGGGCCTCCACAACAACTTCTGTAAGCTCTGGGCCTTGCTTCACCTCCTCCAGTCCACCCCAACCTGCCCAGATGCGTCCCTGCTACATGCTTCAGTGGGTCTCACGGCCTGCACAGAGCTGCCCAGCCTGGGAGGTAGAGCAAGAGTGGGGACCTGGGTGGCTTCTTGGTCCACCCAGAATCAGTACTGTCATGGTCTTCTTTCCCATATCTACCTGCCCCCTCCTGTCACCCCCCCTCCTGACCCCAGCACCCTCCCCTGTCGCTAGACTAGTGCACGTGGCATTGGGACCTGGGACCAGGCCAAAGAAGGGAAGGAGCCTGAGGGGACCTTTCCGCCCCCGCTTCCCTGGCTCTTGAAGGGCACAGCAAGTGCACTGGAGGTTTCTGTTGAAAACTCAAAAGCAAATCCGATGCAGAGGTCTCATGTTCTCAGGAACCGCATCGCAGGGCGCTGCCCCCGGGGCCCTGTGCTTGGTTCTCAGGGATGAATCCTGTGATTTTCCCCGGGTCCCAGCTGGAGTCAGGCCACAGGCTTTGAGTCCATCTGTGCCGTAGGTGACAGGCCTTGTGCTAGTGTGGATTCTTCCTGGGGCTACTCCAGATGGGGCACTGGGCAGCTGGTATCTGCAGAAACACAGCCAACACCAGGAGGCCGAGGGCCTGGGGGGGGGTGGTCCTGGATTCGTCACCACCTTGCTGTGGGCTCCAGGGAAAGCCTTTCACTTGTGCCTCTCAGTTTCCTTATTTGAAAAGTGAGAGCGTTGGACCACCAGGGGCTCCAGTCCACCCCCAGGCAGGGCCTGGGCAGAGTGTGCCCACTCAAAGCCATCTGCACCCTGGACCCTGGCACCCCAGCATGTGGCCCTGGCCCGCTAACCACGGCTGGCTGCTCTCCTGGAATCTTTCCACTGTTAAGTGCCGAGACTCACCTCCACCGAGGGGGCTGTGCAGTAAAAGCCACAGTGACAAGGCCTTACTATTAAAGGACACAGTGGCAAATGGCCTGCGTTCTTGGTTTGTCCTTGGCTGATCAAGTTGGATGGAGTTGAAAGTGCCCAGGGAGGTTGGTGACCCGGCCACCGTCCGCAAACAGGGATCCTGACTGTCTGTACCAGGCAGCGACAGGTTCAGGGCCAGGCGGAACACAAGCCCCAATGGCAAACGGATTGTCAGCAGCCAGAGGGGAGCCCTGGCGCCGTTGGTGGCAGAGCCTGGAAGAGGTCACACCACGGCATCACTGGGCGGCAGCAGCTGCAGCTCATGGTGGCCTTGATGCCCCATGCTGCCCCAGGCCAGACGGTCACGGAGGAGCCGAGCCTGGGACCAGAGCTGCCACCGGGGAGGTGGGCTTCTGCCCCAGTGGCCCGGCTTTCCTCCACTGCCCTCCTGACCTTGGGACACTCTGGCATTTAATATTTGACTAGAGCAGCAGGGGCTCTGGACAAAGCCCTCCCACCAACAGGCCATAGGTCACGCCTGCCCTGCGTCGAGGGGAAGAGAGGAAAATAAAGCGATTGTCTCTGAAGTGATCGTGCTATTAAAAATGAACTCCCTGTTCCCATAGAAACCTTTCTTCATTTCTCCTCTTCATGCCTGTTTTTTTTTCTATTTTTTAAAATAGTGGTACATTGTGTCAGTCACAGAAGGAATTAGAGACAGCTGAGCCAAAATCATAAATGTGACATTAAAGAATCTTTATCAGTTTTCCCCCCACTTCCTGATGAGTCTCCCTTTGTTTTTTTTTCTATCAGAGGAGGATTCACACCCTTCGGTCCAAGGAGGCTATATGTGCTCATTGCCTGCTTTTGTCAATAAAGTTTTATTGGAACACAGCCATGTCCACTCATTTGCATACTGTCAACGGCGACTTTTGCTCTAGGACAGAGTTGATTGTTGAGACAGGGAAGTAGCCACAAAACCCCATAACTTTACTACTAGGCGCTGTGCGGAAAAGGAGGAAAGAAACAGAAACGTAGTGAAATGTTCTCAGGGAAGGAAAGGTGTGCGTGTGTGCGTGTGTGTGTGTGTGTGTGTGTGTCAGAGTTTGTGTGTGTTGTGTGTTTAATTTAGGGGCCAGCCCTGTGATTTGTTAGGTAAGTGTTTTTTTTGCCAAGTCAGTTGCTCTGTCTTGGAAGTGGCCCAGGATAGAGGCCACCAAGATGCCTCAGGTCTCCGAACAAAAGTGTTGGCTTTGAACTGTGGCCACACCTGCCCTCTCTCTGCCTTAGCCTGTTGGATTACATCCAGAAGAAATGCTGGGTGAGGCCCTGATACCATCTTAACACCTAGGGGTTGTGCCTGTGGGTCCAGGAGGCTGGGTCTGCGGGTGAGGTTGGCCAGCCTCCTTGTGCTCGGTGCCAGCAAGCCCTGGAGGCCTCTGTTCAGAATGTGGCAGTGGGGAAGGCTTCCTGTAGGATGGTGGCAACTGTAGATCTAAGCCCAGACTCAGCGCCCTTGGTGACAACAGTAGGGAGTGCTGGCCGTGTGTGGCATGGCCCAGCCTCATTGCCGAAGGGCTGACCGTGTGCCTGGGGGACATTCGGTACCTGATTTTAAAATGGGCTTGTCCACTGGGAGTCTAGTCAAAGGCAGAGGAGTGTGGGGACGGGGCTCAGAGGGAGCCCGTGCAGTCAGGGCTCCTCTTGACTCTCCCTTCCTGAGTGCTGGGATCCGCGGCTGCTTGGCGATTGCGGTCCAGAGCCCTCGAGGACTCTAAAGGCCGAGGAGGAGCTGGGTTATTCTAGTGTGGATCGGTGCCGGCTTCAGCTCCTGCAGAGAGAGCGCAGGTGGAACTGTGAGGACCCCCAGGGCTCTGGTGACGTCACGTCCCCTCCGGCTTGCCTCTCCTGGGGGGGTTCTCCGTGCAGCCTGGAACCTTGGCGATATTTATATCCCTCTCCTCTTTTAGACTATTTTTAATCTTCTATGCTATGACATACTTAAAAAGCAGCATCCTGAGCCCTTCTACTGAGAACTGGGGCGGCAGGTGGAGGGGCCTGGAGATGACCTGCCAGTTTGGTGGTGGAAGAACGGAGCCCTCGATGGCGTGGTCCCCTCAGTCCTCCCACACAGCCCATCCCGTGGGTGCGGCCCTGCAGCGGCTTTCTGGTGGCCTTCCTGGGCTCACCTGTCTTGCGTGCGCCCTTCCCGTTGGCTGCTGGGGCCCCTCTCTTGCAGCCCCAGCCCCTCAAGCTGGAGATCTCCCTCGTGGTACGTCTGTCCTCTGTGAGACGCCTTCGTGCCCCAGGAAGAAGCCCTGCTGTGTGCTCCAGGAGTGGGGGACAACCCTTGCCTTTCCTTGAATGAGCCGACCCAGCTGTACCAGGGTCTTCCTGTTTCCCTCAGGACACACGTCTTCAGATCACCAGTGGCCCCCTCATGTCCCCGTGGTCCCTCCTGCAGAGCCTGACCGTGATGTGTCCAGAATAGCCTCCCTGAGCTCTGTCTGCCCGCTCCTGGGTGGAAGCCCTCTCCTCTGGGCTCCCTGGGCTCCCTGATGTCTGCTGAGCCCACCTCTGCGAAGGCCCCAAGAGGAGGACCAGGCCCTGCACAGCACGGGGCTTCAGAACTGTTTGTCAGGTTGTAGGCCAAACAGCCCCTTCCCCACAACAACCATGCCCCGGCCCCCAAACCTGGGAATGTGCTCCCTTCTTGGTAAAGGGGACTTGGCAGAAGTGAGATGGGGACAGGATGCCTTGGAAGAGGGGAGCAGGAGGGGCAGAGGGACAGAGGGGGTGGGATGTGCCATTGCTGGGGACCACAGGCCCAGGAACACTAGCAGGAATCCAGGTGCAACGCAGTGTCAGGTCACGCGTCCCATCTATCTCTGTGCCCTGGCTTGAAGAGGGCGGCGTCACAGTGTCCTCTGGGCCCCTGTCCTGCTGTGTGGACTCTTGGATCTGGCAGAGAGGACACCTGGGTTCTAACCCTCGTGTTCTCTGGGGGCTGAGGTCATGAACTTGGGAAGAGCTGTTCATCTGGAGCAGGTCGGGCCCAGTTGTGGGTGAACCACCTCCTACTTCATGTGAAAATCAAAGTCTGTTCAGAAAACACGAGAGCCATCACGAGGCTCTGGGCTCATGGGCAGTTCCCATCTTTTGGTCACGTTGCCTTGACTGTTGGAAGTCCAAGACTGTGCAAATGACAAGGGCCTTCACTCCCAGGGAATGGAAAAAAATCCTAACCCCATCTCACCGGGACGCTTACTGACGTCTCCCTTGGCGTTTCTGGGCTGCCCTGCGTCCGCCCTGACCCTCCTCCCTCTTGGCAAGCGCAAGGTCGACAGGCGACCTCCGTGGCTTTGGTTCCATTTCGGTTTCCATGGTAAGGCGGTGAAGCCGGTAGCGATCCTCCCTATCCACGCTTTCATCGGCCTCTGTTTCTTCTTCTTTTGCTAAACACAGATGCAGGGCCGCAGCGGCTCAGTGAGATCCGCGGACACAATGACACGGCAGCGTGGGGGGAAAAGCCCCCGGGCTTTAGAGTGGCCCTCTCATCTTCAGGTTGGCCCAGCGAGTTCCAGCCTGAGTTTCAGGAGATAATCTGGGGGTCATTGTCGTGTATCATATGCTGTCCAGGTTGTGTCCGAATCCATGAAGTCAGGGACCATCTCTATTAGTGGACTGTAGGAGGACCAGCAGAGACAGGCAGTGCCAGGCTCCTGGGCTCAGGAACTCGAGAACCAGGAGGTGGAGAGAAGTCGGGGAAGGTGGATTTGGGGCCAAGGTGTTGGGGGGACCTGAAGGGGATTTGAATTTGGGGGAAGAGAGAGACGTGGCCTGCACTAGATCCAGGACCAGCTGGAGAAGGCAGCTGACCTTTTACCCCAGAAAGATCCCTGGACACAGGCAAGGGACACGGGCACTCGTCAGGGTAGATCCAGTGACTCAGCTGGCTGTGCTCAGTCACCTGGGTACCCTCCGCTTTGAGCTGAAACCACACAAAGGCTGACGGATCCTGACTGGTGATTTCCAGGGACGGTCGGAGGGGACTGGGGACAAGAATCCCGTCTTACGTGGTTGGAGAGGTAAACTCCCAGGACCTTGAATTATGGCGGAAGTGACCGGAGGCAGCCCCTGGGTGGGACTGTGAATGAGTACCACCATGTGGGGTCAGTGTGGAGGCTCCTCAAAGGACGGGGCGCGGCCACCCCGTGACCCACCCTGGAGACTTAGAGGCGTCTTACTTCAGGGGCGCGGGCTCACCCCTGTTTGTAGCCGCACAGTTCACGACAGCCTCACTGGGGGACCAGCCTAGGTGGCCATCAGCGGATGAATGGATAAAGAAAGCGGGTTCTGTGTGCACCACGGAGTTTTATTCAGCCATAGAGAAGACGAGGTTACGTCATCTGCAGGAACCTGGACGGAACTGGAGACCATCGTGTTGAGTGAAGTAAGTCCCACGCTGAAGGTCAGGGGTCACGTGTTTTCCCTCATTTGTGGAAACTAGAGAGGAAAAAGGGAAAGAAAGAGTGGGGGGAGGTAAATCTCATGAAAATCAAAAGGGAGATCAACAGAGGAAAGGGACGAGGGTGGTCGGAGAGAAGGGAGGGAGGTTCTGGGGAACGATATTGGCCACGTTACATTATTACACCGTGTGCATGCACTGGTACGTAACAAAGATCCTGTCATTGTGTTCAACTGTGAAACACCCAGAAAGATAAATGAGGGGAGGGAGCCGTGGGAGGGCACCTGTCCTGCCCCCGGGGTTGGCAGATCAGGAAGCTTTGCTGTCTCCACTCTGTCCCTTGACTCCAAGCTGACCTGAGGTTGGTGTTAGGTCTCCACTGCGCGGAGGCAGACACTGAGGTCCAGAGGGGAGGACCTGTCTGGGCTTCGAACTTGAGTCTTACCTAAAACAAAAAGTGATGTTTCCAAATAAAAGCCGTAGGCGGGGACAGGCTGTTGCCTGGGCGATGGTGTGTTCTGAGTTCTCAGGAGCACTGTGGCAGTGGCCATGAGGCGTCTGTGGGGACAAAGGCTCTACAATGCTGGGACGAGCACGGGGCCAGCAGGGTGGGTGAGGAAGGAAGAGGACAGCAGGAATCAGAGTCACAGGCGTAGCGGGTGGGGCGGGCATGGCTGCAGGTGGATTTGCTCAAGTGCTTCTTCTTGGTCCGCCCGTGTGGTCCAGAGGCCAGCAGGGTCAAGCACTGGGTGGCCCTGTCCGAGGCTCAGTGGGTGCTTCTTCACATTTGTCAAATGCATGAGCGTGTGGACGCTGGGGTCCTGGAGAACTGGGCCGGAGCCCCTCTTTAGTACTGAATGACGATGGATGACCCAGCCCCATGGCGACTTTTTGGTGAAAAGGAGAAGAATCCTGGCCCGTCCAGCTTGTCGGAAGGTCCGTGAGGCCATGGGTCTCCCTCCGTGTCTGCTTCCTGTTCCCTTCCTTTTCTCTCAGGCTCCTGTGAGCCCCCCACTGCCCCTGTCCATGGGGAATGCCACTTGAATTTTCTTAGCTGACGATTTGGGGTGTTTTGCTTTTTTCCTTTGTCTCTAAATGTCATGCACATATTGTTCCATCTTGATTTCTAGGTTCCAGGCGCTGACTTTTGGCTTTGGAAGGTAGGATGTGGGTTTCCTCTTTACTTCTTTTAGCCTCAGATCTGCCCCCGACCCAGCGCCCGCTATATTTCCTTCCTCCTTTTGGTGCAGGGGGTGGTTGGTTTGGGCTGTTCCTCTGGTCAGTTGTGTGTAGTGGGGCCTCCCTTTCCCTTCTGCTCCTCTTTTCCTTCAATCCAGACCTGCCCGTTGGTGGTCATGTATGTGCTCGTGAATTCATTCATGACCGTACCCTTGTATTCCAAGTGTCCCTTTGGTTGCTCGGGGCAGCGGGTGAATCGACCTTTCTTGAGCAAGCCTGGTCCCTGACCTGCTCCAGTCTGTACTTACTGCCCTCCACACCTGGGGCCTGTCCATCAGTGACCATCACCTGTGTCCAGCCTCTCTCCTGGGCTGGACCTCCTGCTTCCTCCCTTGAATATGAGAGCACATGAGAATGTAGGGTAGGAAATGTTCTGAGAACTTGAACCTGGGACACTGAATTTCCTCCCCTCTAATTCCTGATTGCCACATTAGCTGAGCATCAGGCTCAGGGTTGGGAATCTTCTTCCTTCCGAGCTTTGGGGCCTTGCTCCGCTGTGTCCCAGCCTCTAGGGTTGCAGTTGGAAGGTGTGAGGCCATTCTGGGTCACCGTCTGTGGCTTACTTTGTTCCCCCTGGAAGCTTGCAGGGTCCTCTCTGTCCCCAGTGCCCTAAGCCTTCAAGGGGACCTGCTTGGTGCTGGTCCCTTTTTGTCCCTTAAGTTGAACACTTAGTGAGACCTTTCCATCTGGAGGCTGCCCTTCTGTTCTGGGACATTTTCTTGGCTTATTCTGTCATAGTTTCCGTCCCTTGATCTTCTCTGACCTTCTAGATCTCCTTCTATCTGGACATCCTTCCTGGACTAATCTTCTGATTTTCTTATCTTTTCTATTTTTTATTCCTTTGGCTTTGCTTCCTGGGAGAGTTCATCGGTTTTACATTCTAGTTTTAATCTCTTGCATTTTTAATTTGCAGAAGTTCTGTTCTTAAGAGAAGCCCCTTCTTCTGAGTGGAGGGCCCTGTAGAGAGCGTGTCCCCGACTCTGCCACTCTCTCGCCTGGTGGCTCCGGCAAGTTATTTAGCCTTTTTACTCTTGAGACACCTGCTTTGTGAAATGAGAGGCCCAGTACCAATGCCTGCCTCAAGAGCTGCCGAGACCGCGGGGGTTCTGGGGGTGGCGGGCGCAGAGCCACGGCGGGCCAGGCTGGGTAGGGTGTGTGTTCCTCCGTCCACTCTGCGCAGCTGCGTCTCTCCTTCCTTGGGGTTCTCACATTTTGGGTTCCTTTCTTCATTCTTGGTTGTCTTCTCATGTATTAGGGTTGGGGACTGAAAAGTGGACTGCTCACAGCACATGGGGCGGGGCTTCCTTTCTGGAAGCTTCTCTCAGGTGCCCTTCCGGGTTGTCTCAGGGGAACCCCTAGGCTCATGCCTTCTCTCCTGGGCTGGGCAAGCTCCCGGGGTAGGACCCACAGTGTCCTGTCTGAAAGGTCAGGACCAGCCATCTGGGGGTGGGGATGGGGGTCTGGCAGCTGAAAGAAGGGAGAGGGCTTGGGGTGGGGGGACTCTCTGATCCCCTCTGGAGAGATCACTTAATCCACCTGGTTTCAGTGCAGTTCCCAGGGCCCCCCCCCCCTTAGGGACTGAACTCCAACCCTGTGGTGGGGGAGGGGCTGTCACACCACTGGGAGGCCTGGGGGACGGGTTTTCTCCACCTGCTTTCTGGTTCTTTCCGCTCATCGTATTGCCTCCTGTACCTCGACCCCATTCCCAGTGGTACGTGCGGCCCCTGATTCTGAACCTTGGGGACTTGGGGATGTAGGTCGGCTGGTGCGCGTCTTCTCATGGCCCCGTGGGTGTAGAGGTCCTGAGCTGGCTCCGTTTCCGCTGGTCTTTTTCCCAGCTCCAGAACTTGGTCCTTCCTCCCACAGTTGTCTCTTTTCTAAATGCACAACGCGGACCGCAAAGATCCTCCCTGCAGGCTTCAGTGGAGCTGGGGATGGACTGCACCAAGGAGCTGGGCTGAGTGTCCTTCCCCCCAGATCTCAGAAAGGCTGGGTAGGAAGCCGACAAGACAGATGGGTGCCACTGTCACCCTGGCTTTGAAGACTCAAAGTTGCTGATGCCGTTGGCGTTTGGCCAGTTCGGGGCTGCCGCTGAGTACTGGGTACCGGCAGAGCTCGGGGCATTGCACAGGGGTCTGCTCACATGTGGGGGCTCTTTTCTCAGCCACACACTTTGGTTCTCTTGTGGCTGTTGCTCTGGGGCCTGGGGCCCAGGTGGGGTACAGCTGCAGAAGCAGAGAGTCTTCCTCCAGGTCCTCCTCGGGCCTCGGGTCACCCGAGGGAGGTGGGAGCTCCTCCAGCTTGCCAGGGGCCGGCTCTCCCTTGCTGCTCGGCCGTGTGGCACCTTCAGGGAGAAGGGCTGGGCGCTGAAGGAGCGGCTGGTTTTGTTTCTGTGTAGCTCTCACTGGACTCCGTCAGCTTTCAGTACCCTGCCCAGGCCCGAAGCCTCAGGCTGCCCAGGGGAGACTCACTGGTGCCAAGCTCTTCATGTCCAGCTCTTATCAAGATGAAAGGCTCACCTGCCCGTCATCAGATACGGCCAGGCTGACCTTACCTGATCGTCTGGATTTTTGAGTGGATCAGATTACCCGGAAGGAGCAGCCCGGTGGAAAGGGCCTTTGGAGAGTCCAGTAAAGAACAAATCCACACGGGCCCCAGAACTGCCCAGATGATGGCTCTTTATTTCCGCATCCCTGATCAGCTCAGCACAGTCGGTCCCTAAGAACAAAACCCGAGAACAGTGCGGCGGAAGGGGCTGGAAGCCAGGCCTGGATTCGAGTTCAGCTCATCCCTAGGTGGCTGCCGGATTGTAGCCAAATTAGGAATCCTGGTCGTGTGTTGCTCTCTTCTAATAGTAGACCCTCCAGCGTTATGTGGAGGGTCCAGGGAAGTCATGAACATCGGAAGTGCCCCATACAGTCAGGCCTTTTGACTCCGTGAACAGAATGCCAATCATGAGGCCGTCAACACCTCCCCCGCCGACTGCACCTTGGGGTGGTCCCGGGCATCTGAGAACTCCAGGGGCAGTCTGCTGGGGGAGGGGAAGGGCCGCCTCCTCTCCCGCACACTGTGGGCAACGACAGTGCCCCCGGCTCAAAGGGCCCTTTGACACGAAGCTCCAGCTTGGAGGCTCTTGGAAAGTCAATAGTTGATGTAATATCTGTCCCGTGAATTGTGTCCATTGTCACCCAGCCCTCTCCTGTAGTGGGAAGAGTCCAAGAAAGTGACGTGACAACGTGTGACCCTTCCCATGACTCCATGGAAAATGACTTCATGCATCGGGTGCAAGCTCCCGTTTCCCCGGGATCCTCTGCCTCAAGTCAGCGCGGCCGGGTCCTGGCTCTCGGGTTGACTTCGTGCAGCGTCCACAATAAGCATCTGTGGGTGTTTTCTGATGGTTCCAGGCCTCTGCAAGGCACCGGGGAGAGAGGGGAGGAAAATGGGCCTTCTCTGCTCTGTGGCTGGGAACAAGTCCCGTCCCCCCCACCGGGTCCCATGGGGATATGGTGACAGCAGACTGACAGGGCCCCTCTGTCAGGTGTGGAAGGAGGTCACCCAGAGCAGGTGGGGCTCAGTGGAAGTGGAAAGAGTGGATGGAAGTAGGGCGGGAGGGAGAGGGGAGTGTGGAGCCTTCTGTGCAGAGGGAGCAGCTGGCACAGAGGCTGAGGGTGGCAGGAGGGAGGCCCCTGGACGAGGCCCCTGGACGTGGCCTCTGGATGTGGCCCCGGACGTGGCCCCTGGGCTGTATACAAGGGGGTGGTCCCTCTGGAGCACCCACTGTGTGGAGCCCCGTGTCCTTTTTGGGGAAGACTGTCACATCCACTGGACTGGGACCAAAGACTCTACCATCTGCTTCTTTTCAAATGGGCTGAGCATGGAAGAGGTTCTGGCCACTGAGAGCACACGGCTCAGCCCTGCGGCCAGCCCTCCCAGCTGGGGGGCTTCCCTGTGCCCAGCTGTGTGCGTAGGGGTGCAGCAGGGCACCACGGTTGTGCTCCCTGTCCCCACGTCCTTGCCCTGTCCTCGTCCAGGCAGATCTGCCCACCAAGGGAGAGGCTGCTCCGTTCGGGCCTTGTTTTCCTAGGTTGGGGATGATTAAAACAGTGAAGGAGGTAGTGAAGCCGACCACACAGTGGCAGTTTCTTGATCACCCGGGTCAGCACTGTGTCCCTGGGGTGGAACACCTGCTGCGTGCCATGA